GGTATCGAGGCCACTTGGTGTGCCAAGGTTGTTCTTGGGGCACCTGCGGCATTTAAATGTAAGAGGTGCCATGATGTCTACTTGACATCATGGCATCCTTACCCTTCTAAGCCTGCCCACACTTTATTTTTCTGTCTAATCACAGACTTCTCAATGCAGCTAAAAGTTGTCTTTGCAAGGCAGTTCTGAGAAATTGTCTGCCTCTCAAATTAAGCTCCACTGAGTTAGCCAAACCAGGAAGTAACATGACATGTTGTCTGCTTAAAAGCTAGGGGCAGCAACTAGATTAAAGGGATACTATAGTCACCTGAACAACTTTAGCTTAATGAAGCTGTTTTGGTGTATAGAACATGCCCCTGAAGCCTCACTGCTCAATCCTCTGCAATTTAGGAGTTAAATCCCTTTGTTTATGAACCCTAGTCACACCTCCCTGCATGTGACTTGCACAGCCTTCCATAAACACTTCCTGTAAAGAGAGCCCTATTTAGGCTTTCTTTATTGCAAGTTCTGTTTAATTAAGATTTTCTTATCCCCTGCTAATTTAATAGCTTGCCAGATCCTGCACGAGCCTCCTGTATGCGATTAAAGTTCAATTTAGAGATACAATTATTTAAGGTAAATTACATCTGTTTGAAAGTGAAACCAGTTTTTTTTTTCATGCAGGCTCTGTCAATCATAGCCGGGGAGGTGTGGCTAGGGCTGTATAAACATAAACAAAGTGATTTAACTCCTAAATGACAATGAATTGAGCAGTGAAATTGCAAGGGAATAATCTATACACTAAAACTGCTTTATTTAGCTAAAGTAATTTAGGTGACTATAATGTTCCTTTAATTTAGAAATGGCAACTTCTTGCAAAATAAATAAAATAAGACAAACTCTTCACACATAAAGCTTTCCAGCAAAATAAAGTGTCCCTTTAAATTAAAGCTTTTTTGGTGCATAGCTACATTCTCCTTTGTTTTGTAATTCTACTGTTAATTCTCCAATAATTCACAGTTTTACAAATAAAACCAGTAGTTGGCTACAAATTGTGAATTATCAGGACTTCACCAGAGAATTGAAAAATTTCAGTCAATGTAGTCAAATGTGAAAATGTCTCAAAATCACATATATTTTCACATTGTCACAGTGAATTCCAACGATTCTTAGTTTATTGAATAATCCTACCTGAAAGGGTTATTTGCCAGACAATTATGAAAATTAAAGCTATATATTATATATTAATGTAGTTTTTACGTATGTCCTAATGCCCTTAGATGTTTGTGTCAGTTACATCTAGGTAACAAAAAGGATCTCATACATATTTATGTGTAACTGACATAAAGATCTGGGGTTCTTTCTACACTTTATTTTTAAACTGCATATTTATTTATTTTTTATTTTAGATTTTTGCTGTGCATATAGATAGTACATACAGACCGGTGGTACCCCAACAGCAATCCACAGGTTTGACAGTTTGCAAACAATTGAGGTACTTGAGTATATAAGCACAATTTTATAGTAGCTTGACATTTGTAGGAACATGCACAATTTTAAGGGTTTGAGGGTGACTCGTAGGTTATATCGCATAAATAGACATTAACATGAATATAGATTAAACTAAGCTTGTCATGCTTCAGGCGTGGTCTAAGCAGGCTACACTTACTCTCAGAAGTTACTGTAGTCTGGAACTGCAGTGTGTTAGCATTATTACATCAATATTAACTAAGCAGTTCTAAAGCCTTATTAAAACTTGGTAAAACAGTACCTAAACATATTAAATCAGGCTTAGTCAATAAAACAGAAAATTTGTTAACATTTCCGAGCTGAGTCAC